GTCCAATCATCCTGGGCTGGATTACCTGTTCACAGGTGCCAGAAGTTGGTTGACTCCATGCAACACAGATGTACAGCAGTTCTCAGAAACAGTGCTTATACAACGAAATATTCATTAAGTGATTCAAAGGAAAGCAAAATCTTCAAACATTTTTCAGTTTATATAGTGAATGTTTGAGTTTGTAAAGAAGAATACAAACACTGCTATTTTTTGAACAGTCTAATATTCACTTTTCTTCAATTTTTTTTTAGAGGAACAACTCAAATTTGATCTATTTTTCTTCATGTTTTGATTTGGAATAGAATGTGTAGTGTTCCCAATGCATTTGTGTGTATGGAAATAAAAGCTATTAGAAGGATTTTGAGCTTTATTCGCTTTTTTCAACACACTGCTATTATTGTGAACACAACTGTATATATAGAGAGGAAGAGGCACTTGCAGCTATCTGACCTATAGAACACTTCACTTCTATAGATGAGAAGAAGGGGAGGTTGGAATTGTTCTTTAGTCCTAACACGGGAGACAACACTGCTCCTCCATAGACACAGTACAGTTAGTGTTGTCACCCTAGGACAGGAAGTGTGTTACCGACATGGTCACCAGGTGAAAATAAAGGAAATAAAACCTGTAAAAAGAAAATGAATGCAGCCATCACCTCTAAGGGTGATAAGTGGTAACATATTTTTTTGTACTTGGGTTTAGATATGTTTACAATGACACCACATACAAGCAGCTTTTGAATGGATGTTTTTATTACTGAAATCTATGTCCTTGCAGTTTTTCTTAAAATAACAAAATATCAACAGAAGCATGAAACCAAAATGCTGAAAAAGTATCAAAAGCTATCAAAACACTGTAGATGTAATTACTCAGCTTAATTGGAAGATAAGTAACAATGTACAGAGTGCTGCAACCTCTACAGACTACATTACACATCTCACTGATCAGTAAACAAGGATCTGAACGCTGCTCTACACACTATTTCTCCAATGAGAATGGAGTAAAAATGTTACTAAAGTGCAGATAAACTCACCAGAGACATTGAAGCTACATCATCAAATAAAATCATTGGGTACATGGATTGAACAACAGAAAAGACAAAATTATAATAGAATAATAAAAAAAAAAATACAAAGCTTTTATTATCAATGCAATAAACACAACAATATTTCAATGAAACACATGGGGGTTTTGAATCACTTGAACTGTTCTAAATAGAATTGGATCGGTGCAAGGGAACTGGTGCAAGAGAACTGGTTTCTAGAGCAGGGGTCTCCAAACTTTCTAAACAAAGGGCCAATTTACTGTCCTTCAGAGTTTAGGGGGCCAAATTGTGGCCACTGGGAGTAGAAAAGGTCCTGATGTCAGTGGAGGAAATAGTACCCCATCTTTGCTGTCAGTGGGAGGAATAGTACCCCATCTTTGGTGTCAGTGGGATGAATAGTACCCCATCTTTGCTGTCAGTAGGAGGAATAGTACCCCATCTTTGGTGTCAGTGGAAGAAATAGTACCCCATCTTTGGTGTCAGTGGGAGGAACAGTACCCCATCTTTGGTGTCAGTGGGAGGAATAGCACCCGATTGTTGATGTCAATAGGATTAATTGTAACTCATCATTGGTGTAATTAAGTGTTCTTACATGGCAAGACCACTTACTGTTATCTCACATATATATTCTTATTATTATAGCCAAATTTACCACCCTAACTCCTCCCACAGTTTTTACACTACACAGACAGTAATATACCGAAACGTGCGGATTGTGCAAGATTGGTGTGCTATTACTTTGTGGAACGTTTCGCCAAATGGTTCACGAAATATCGGTGTTTATGTGGTGAAATTGGTCCCATAGGAATGAATGGCGGAATGTTCAAAACTAGAGTGGGAGCTGACAAAAGCTGGAGTGTGAGCTGAAAAATCAGGACATGATTTCTAAACTGCCATCACTCCCTCATTTTCAAGCCCACAAATCCTATATCAAAACGTTCAGCTATCCCTGCTGCCACTAAAAATGTCCACGGCTAAGCCATAGTCCTGATGGTTTTCACAATATGACCATTTGTTTGCAGCTCACGCCGTCCATTAACATTCATTGAAACTCCACTCTAGCCACCTCAAAATTGAAGGGCAATTTCTAAACTGCGACTGTGCCTTCATTTTTAATATTTCAGAGACATACTATGCATCAAAATGTAGGTCTGGGTCTTGTGATTCTCACAATATAAAGCTCTTCACTGTAGGATTTATAGTTTTTAAAACTACGACCATTTGAAGACACCAGTGAAGTGAGCAATTTGGAGCAGTTTTTGTTTTTAACCGCTCTTCTCTGCCCTAATTGAAATCTAATTTTGAATTTGTGACAGTTTGGCCGGCTTCTGGTTAAAGGTTTGGAAATAAGTTTTCTACAGTAGAGAGTATTTGAGGTGATAATGCTGCTAATGTTTTTATAAATGTATGTTTTAATGTAACTGTGAAGCACTTTGGGCAACAACATTGCAATTAAATGTGCTATATAAATTATTAAAAGTTGAAATGCATTTCTCACTCTATCAAGCTTGCCATGTGCACTTTTAAATTTGATCAATCAATTGGTTAGTGTAATGTTTACTAACTTTACTCACTCCAAACACTCCACACAGTTACTCTGCCCACTCCATAAAGTTACTCTGCCCAGTCCAACCTTTTCACAGTTACTCCAGCCACTCCAACCACACAACAGTTACTCAAGCCACTCCACCCAGTTACTCCGCCCACTCCAGTTGTAGACTACTGGTGGAGGAAAGAACACTTCACACAATTTCCCCAGAAATTGTAGCTTTTCTAGTTGGGAGATATTGTGCCCCATCGTTTGTGTCATTGGAAAAAATTGTTCCCCTTCAATGGTGTCAATGGGGATAATTATGCTCCAATTGTTGGTATCATTGGGTGAAATAGTGACTCAAGGGCCGGATAAAAGCAATCAAAGGGCCGCATCTGGCCCTCAGGCCACAGTTTGAAGACCACTGTTCTAGAGGTGCATAGAGTGGTTGGTGGATTAAAGTGTTACTAAACCCAGGACCCTGCATTCTCTGCTCTCCCACAGTACACACAACAGTGTACTGTGCAATGATTTTAGTAAATATAAACTGCTAAATACCTTTTCTCATCAGCAGTTACAGCAGTCTTGTGACTTCTTTCAATGATCAGCAGAGCACTGGTTAAAGCGTGTAGGAGGAGTTTTCTCTCTGCTCTAGGTGGATGCAGAACCCCTGACCTCTGTCTGAACAGTGCTGATTGGCCCTGCACATGCACTCTCTCAAGGAAAAAAAAACCCCTCTCTAGCAATACACACCAAACCGAGCATGTGCAGAGTGTCTCCACACCATATGTCTTATCAGGAGATAAGAGGGGCACTGGAAGAAGGGGAGGATCAGAGAACTCAGGATCAAACAGCATTTTTACACAATTCAGAGGATTAATCCCTTAGGTTCCACAGTGTGTATAACAAGCATGCTTTACTGCATATACAGACTAATTTTACTGTTGTGGGTTTAGTAACATTTTAATTCAATATATTATTTTATTTAATTGTGATTCTGCTTGCAATTTCAAAACGCTCTACTAAAATGACAAATCACTGAACTGCGACTAAAATGAATGGCACCTGAACATGTGGTTCCGCGATTTGTCATTTTAGCAGAGCGTTTTGAAATTGCAGGCATAGTCGCAGAGATTCTGCCTGCGACTGAAAACGCCCATGTGTGAATAAAGACTTAATGACAGCACACATATCACATTACAATTAAATAAAATAGTATATTGAATTAATACACCAACCATTCTATGCAACTCTAGAAACCATTTCTCATAATGCTTGCACTGATCCAATTCTAGTTATTATTATTATACAGGATTTATATAGCGCCAACAGTTTGCTCAGCGCTGTACATTATAATGGGAGATAATACATGAGACAGTACAGTAACAATACGATTCAATACACGAGGGGTTCGAGGGCCCCTGCTCCTTGGAGCTTACAATCTAGGAGGGAGGGGATAGTGCTACAGGAGGAAATAGCTGTGGGGGATGGAGTGGTAGGAAGAGTGGAGGAGTTCAATTTTAGAACAAGTCAACCATGTTCCATATGTTCCATATATATAGACACAAATAAGACTCTCGGGTTACAGCCCCTTGCACTTTGGGGCCATCTAAGAGCAGGGGTCCCTCCCAGCTGTATGGATTGATACCTGCACTTAGAACTCTGTGTGTTGGGGGCCGAAGGTCTAGAAAGCAGGACATTTACATTCTAGACTTTTGTCCCTAAACACACCCCTGTGTACAGCATTCAGACCCATTTGCCATAGACTTTTGCAGGCTGTCTGCAGCGGGGCTGGATGTACACCTATCCCTCCCAAGTGCACTAAAATGTCAGGAGGGACATGCTACTGCTAGGTGGAGCAGTGTGCAAGGGGCCTGAAAGTGGTAACGAATACTCAGGATTTTTTACCTTAACCTCTTGCCTACCGGGCACTTTTACCCCCTTCCTGCACAGGCCAATTTTCAGCTTTCAGCGCTGTTGCACTTTGAATGACAATTGCATAGTCATGCAACATTGTACCCATATGAAAGTTTTATCATTTTTTCACACAAATAGTGCCTTCTGTGGGTGGTATTTAATCACCGCTGGGTGTTTTATTTTTTGCCCTATAAACGAAAAAAGAGCAAAAAACGTGAAAAAGAAAAAGTTTTTCTTTGTTTCTGTTACAAAAAACAGGTACATTTTCTCTTTCACTGATGTGCGTTGATGAGGCTGCACTCATAGGTAGCACTGATGGGCAATGATAAGGCAGCACTGATAGGCAGTACTAATGAGGCGGCACTGGTTGGAATTGATGAGGACTGATATGCAACACTGATGGGCACTGCTAGGCAGCAATGATGGGCACTGCTAGGTGACACTGATGGGCACTTATAGGCGGCACTGACTGTTGGCACTGACAGGCGGCACTGACTGTTGGCTGACTGGCGCACTGATGGACGTCACTGTTGGGCACTGATGGGTGGCACTGTTGGGCACTGATGGGTGGCACTGATGGACACTGATGGGAGGCACTGTTGGGCACAGTTGGTGGCACTGATGGGCGTTGCTGGGTGCCATTGCTGGGCACTTTTGGGGCTGCACTGATAATCAGTGCGCTTATTATCAGTGCAAATGTCCTCTGTGATACTTGCCAGTTATCGGCAGTACTTTCCTCACGCTGTGGTGTTAGTGGACTTAGCTGATCACGTGGTAAAAGGCCGCTGTGATTGGCCTTTTACTTTGTCATGTGATCAGCTGTGTATGTAAGACACAGTGATCACAGACAGTGCCAGGTGCGCACTGCTGGGGGCAAGCGGGGGTGTGTGTTCTGGGAGGACATCATCGCCATCCCAGAACAAGACAACTGTGCTGACAATTGCCTATAGTCTGGTTGTCAAGTGGTTAATGGATTTTTTGCATTCATTTAAAAAAACCTTCTGTACAATAAAAGTTCTTCCTTGACCCCCTGTACTTACCTGAGCCCAGTGGTGTCTATGGGGGTGTGGACCGTACTCAGGTGACACCCGACAGAGGGGTTACACCTCTCTGCTGTCTGCTCTAGCCCAGGAAAGGCCAGGATTCCTGTCTAGGATGAGCTGCCATACTTCAAGAGTCCGACCCCCATTCATCCTAATAGGGGGAGCCAGAAATATGGCGGTGACCATGAAGAGGGGACAGGAGGCAGAGACTCGGGGTTAGAATGTGTGTGGACAGTATGGGATGAGTATTTCCACTGCTTGTGTGCTGGAGAGAGACAGCAGGTTAGTGTTGGTGCGTACTTCCTCCTCTACCATCGGGGGGAGAAATGCGTCCCCTGCCCCACCTCCCTTTGATGTCACTGAGACATGGGGCATTAGAAAACCTCCTTTACTGCACCCCTACATATTGACATGGTACATTCCATCCATCACCCCCCTACATAGTGACATGGTACAATTCATTTACAGCCCCCTACATACTGACATGGTACATTCTATGGCAAGCCTGATGGGGGTGACACCATGTTTTACTGCACCGGGTGACACCAACCCAAGTGAAGCCACTACCTGAGCTGATCTCAATCCATCAATGTTCACTAAAGCATCAGCTTTCGCCTCTTTCTCCCTCCCCGCAGTGCAGATTGATAGCAGCCATTGGCTCCTGCTGCTGTCAATCAAATCCTATGTCGAGGGATCAGGGGTGGGGCTTTGCCCCACTGTCTGTGTCTATGGACGTAGATAGCAGGGCTTGGGAGCGAGCCTGCATGTGTACCCAAATAGCAAGCAGCTTTCTATTGGGGATGGTGGGCATCATGATTGACGTTGGTTCTACTTCGGGACAGTTTTTTTATTTATGTTTTTAATAAAGGACTTGTCAAAAACTGTCTTCTGTCATTTTTTACATTACCCTTTTTTTTGTGAATGAGTACTCTTTTTTTGTGAATGTGTAGTGGTACCATGTATCCCATACTCATTCACATGGAGGAGGGGTGCTGGATCTGGGGGACCCCTTGTTAAAGGGGGCATTCCAGAATCCGATAAGCCCCCCCCCCCCCGCAGGCCCCCACAACCACCGGCCACGGATTGTGGGGAAAATGCCATTGTCTCCATCAACATGGGGACAAGGTGCTTTGGGGGGAAGCCTCCCCTGCCCCAAAGCACCCCCCATGTTGAGGGCATGTGGCTTGGTATGGTTAAGGAGGCAGGGGGCCACTCGCTCATTCCTCCCTTCCCCCCTATCCTGACCTGCCGAGCTGCATGCTCAGATGCCGGTCTGGTATGGATTTTGGGGGGGACCACCATGCCATTTTTGTTTTGGCACAGGGGTTCCCCTCAAAATCCATACCAGACCTAAAGGGCTTGGTATGGATGGAGGGGGTACCCTACGCCGTTTAAAAAAAAAAAAAAAATTAATTTCCAGCAATTTTTTTTTTTGATTCAGCTGTCAGCAGGGAACCCCGCTGACAGCTGAAACATTAAAGAATGTTTTCACTACTAAAATACTGCATGACTTAATAATATAACTCATGCTGTATTTTAGTAGCTGTGCCGTATCTTACCATATAATCAAATGGGGTAAGATACCACTTACTGAATTGTCCTGGGTCGAAGTTTGCAGTCAAACTTTCGTTAGGTTCGAATGTTTGACCGAGAACCAAACAGGGCGGTGTTCTGCGCATCACTATATAAGAAAAATCTAGAAATAATACCCCATAAATAAATACCAAGCTGCACCTCAAACAATTAACTTTTTAGTCAGTACAGTAATAGTGAAAAGATTAGCTGCAAGGAAACCACAGGCAATACTGGGATCTGTTCACAAAAGGAACTTGCATGCGATATTTAGGTGTTGGGGCTCATTTTGCCTAAATATCGCACAAAATCTGGAAACTGTCAATTCAGTATACTGTTTTGCAATATTTACCTCAAAACGCTCAAAACACTTGGTAAATACCGCATGAAAACGTGTTAAAGTCAATTCACAGATGGAAATAAATAATTAAATGCATGTGGTAATTAAGTAGTGGTGTAGGCATGCGGTATTTAACCACTTCAATACCGGGCACTCTTACCCCCTTCCTGCCCCAGCCAATTTTCAGCTTTCAGCGCTCTCACAGTTTGAATGACAATTTGCACAGTCAGGCAACGCTGTACCTAAACTCCATTTTTAGCATTTTGTTCCCACAAATAGAGCTTTCTTTTGGTGGTATTTAATCACCGCCGGGGTTTTTAGTTTTTGCTAAATTAACGAAAAAACACTAAAAATTTAGAAAAAACACACATTTTTCTTTATTTCTGTTATAAAATTTTGCAAATAAACAATTGTTCTTCATAAATTTAGGCCAAGATGAATTTTGCTACATTTCCTTGGTGAAAATAACCCAAATCAGTATTTATTATTTAGTCAGTAGGAAAATTATAGAGTTCACAAACTATGGGATATATCTGAAAATTGATCAATCCTGAAAATACTGATGACCAATCTAATTAAATGAGGCCCAAATCTGTCAGGACTGTACAGATTTCTTCCAAATGACTGATTTTTGCAAAGTAGACAGTCCGACATATTTAATAAGAGGCATGGCGAGTTTTTTGAAGTCATAATGTTTTGAAAAAAGAAGACTTAAAAAAAAAAAATCACAATTTGCTGTTAGCAGTGCAGTACAACATCATCATATAACTGGTATGGCGGTGATCATGGACACTGACTGGTGACAGTACGGAAAAAAAAAGTAATAATTTATTTTAAAAAAAAATTTAATTATTTTTTTTTTTTTTTTTATATATATATATATATATATATATATATATATATATATATATATATATATATATATATATATATATATATATATATTTATTACATTTTTTTTCCATAAAACACTGTGACCAGAGTAGTATAATGCTACCATAATAACATTGTACTACTTTGGGGAAGTGATCAGTATTTGTTTTTTTTTACACATTATGATTGCTTATAGCAAAGAGTTTCTTTGCTATAAGCAAGCATTTAGCTGCATGAAATCGATTCATTCAGGTTTTTTTGTTGTGATTAGCTGTGATTGGCCACAGCTAATCACATGACACAGATGGGCTGGGATTGGCTTAGTCTGTACATGTGATCACTGTGACCAATCACAGCTAGTGACACATATGTATACGATGGATGTCATGAAAGGAAGCCATCCATTGTTTACACTTGTCATGTGACCTGCTTTGATTGGTCACAGTGGTCACATGGTACTGACAACGGGGCCAGTACACAGATCTATCATCTGCTGTGTCCGAGGTACACGACAAGTGACAGATCTCGCCACAGCGTGGCCCAATCTGGGGGGACTTCATATGATGCCCACCGGGATCGATGAGAGTCCCGCTTTGCTGTCACTTTGCTATTGTCCAGGCGGGAACAGGTTAAGGAATGTAAAAATATAGTAGGCAATTCTGAGTAGTTTCTGCCTTTTTAGATCAGTTCTCTTAACAGTAATGCATAGAAACCTAAATATGGAAATAATTGGGGTTGATTTATTAAAGGAAACTTTTTTTTAGTTTTGGACAGAGTAGAGGTGGACTAGAAAATCTGTCAAGTTTTTATTCTTGCCTGTGCCCCAATTAGAGTCACCCTATTTGTCCTATTTACCATTATCATTGAAAGTGAAAGTAAAATATAATCACAAATTTTGGGTTGTCCCCAGAAATGTAGTAGAGGGGATATCTTCCAATGGGGACACAGATGGCAAAAAATAAAAAAGGCAAATAGACTGTGCAATTTGCAAGTTGCTCCAGAACTTAGTACATGAGGTAAAGCATCATTTACAAGGAATACCCAATCACATGCAAGGGGGAAAAAAAACTGCATTTTCACTTGCGCATGATTGGATGACAGAAGTCAGCCAAGCTCTCCCTCATTTACTAAGCTCTGGAGCAACTTCGCCTGCAGAGTGCTCAGTCTATGTGCTTTTAGTAAATCCACCCCATTACATGTAGTGCCGCCTCAACCTCCACAATATTTCCTAAATCTGCCCCTTTCTGACCAATGACACCACAAATAACTTGTCCACGCCTTGGCTATATCCCACCTTGATTACTGCAACTCCCTCCTCACTGGTCTACCGTTACACAGGCTATCCCCCTTCAGTCTATTATGAATGCTGCTGCTAGACTCATACACCTTACCAACCGATCAGCGACTGCTGCCCCTCTCTGCCAATCCCTTCTTTGGCTTCCACTTTGAATATAATATTCAAAATACTAACCACAATATACAAAGCCATTCACAACACTGTCCCTAGCTACATCACCGACCTCGCCCGCTCTGCTCCTCCCAACACATATTCCTCTCTAGCTCTCTTGTCAAGAGAGAGGGGAAAAAATGAACTGGAATGTATAAAAAATGCACCTGAATGTGCCAAAAACACATCAAAAATGCGCATGCAGAAACGCATCTGAAACACATCTTGACTGTGTTTCTATGGTATGAACCAGCCCTTACTGAAAAAAAACTCCCAATCACTCCAAACATAATACAATGAACATGCATATCTCAATGGTCTAATCCCTTGTTAGAACATATGCACTGTGTCATATATGTAGTAGGGATACTTTACTTTTTCACAATTATTTTTAGAGAAATCTTCCCATTGATAAGTTCCAACTGACATCATTGAGCTTTTTAGCTATCTGTCAGGAGCATTCTTCCCGCTTCAGTCTATCCTGAACTCAGAGGCCAGACTCATCCACCTTACCAACCTCTCTGCTTCTGCCACCCCCCTCTGTCATTCCCTCCACTGGCTCCCGATTGCCCAACACATTAAATTCAAACTACTAACACTGACATACAAAGCCATTCATAACGCTGCCCCAAACTACCTCACCGACCTGATACCCAAATACCACCCAACCCGTAATCTTTGCTCCTCACAAGACCTCCTACTTTCCAGCTCCCTGGTCTCCACTTTCCACGCCCGACTGCAGGACTTCTCCAGGACTTCCCCCATCCTCTGGAACTCACTACCCCAATCCATCAGACTGTCACTTACCCTCCTCACCTTTAGGCACACCCTGAAAACCCATCTCTTCAAGGAAGCCTACCCCGCCCTCACCTAACAGCCGATCTCCTCCGTTCCTCCTACCACTCCATCCCCCACAGCCACTTCCTCCTGTACCACTTTCCCCTCCCTCCTAGATTGTAAGCTCGAAAGAGCAGGGCCCTCAAACCCCTCGTGTAGTGTTTTGTTACTGTATTGTCTCATGTTCTGTCCCCCACTATAATGTACAGCACTGAGCGAACCTTTTAACGCTATATAAATACTGTATAATAATATAATAATAATAAGTGTAAGGAGCATTCTTCCCACTGACCTTCACACTAATGCAGTGTTTTTCAACCTTTTTTCAGTCAAGGCACCCTTTAGAATTGCGTACAATTCTGGGGCACACCAGTCTGATGGCTCGCTCATTAAGGAGGTGCGTCCAAGTGTGAGTGCCTTTTTTGTGTGTTCCCACGTGTTGCATGTTAGGCTGCTCTATGCTCGTGAAGCATGCAAAAAAAGTGCTGGCATGATCTTTAAATTGAGCCCTACCAAAATGCATGGTACTGCAGTGCCATGCGTTTTAATTGGAGCAAACATGCATGCAATTGGTGGATGCATGGGGAAGGCATTAAGAATTAATGGCGCCTGCAAAAGGCAACCCCCCTCGCAGAACAAATCCCCCCCCAAATCCCCCCTCCTAGCTCAACCCCCCCAGCACAACCCCCCTCCAAAATGCCCCCTCCTAGCAACAACCCCCCCGCCACAAATCCCCCCTGCACAATAAGCCTTCTAACACAAATCCTTCCTTTCTTCTAACCCCCCCCCTTTTGCTTTTATCACAGCAAAACTACATAAAGTCCTGTGCAGTCCAATGATTAAAAGTTATCTATGTTTAATTCTGTGTGTGTGCTGCTACCTATTACTATTACTACCAGTAAAACCAAAAGTGGAATTACCTCTAAGCAGGGGCAGACTGACAACTCATGGGGCCCCCGGGCAATAGGGGATCATGGGGCCCCTGTGTCCTTGCCCAAACTCAAAAGAGCCTATGAAAAAGGTACCCGGGGCATCTCATGGGGCCCCCTACTCACCCCGGGCCCTCGGGCAGTACCCGAGTTTCCAAATGGTCAGTCCGCCCCTGCCTCTAAGTATCAAATGATGTTAATGAATGCACTTTGGGAATACATTGGAACCATAGTTCGTATTCAGCAAAAAAAAGAGCAGTATGCAAAGTTCAGAAAGCCAACTAACCAAAACCCAAATATTACTGATCAGATTCACTAGACTGGTACCCATTGGTTGCAACAGATCACCTTGCCCCCACGTGAACCTCCCACTGTACATAGCTTTACTGAATAGGAATGTGGGCTTCATTTATGTAAGCCGAGCTTACTCTGATGCTGGTTGTGGACATTCATTTGTATGAGCAGGGATGCGTTTGGGTTCAGTCTGATCTGGGACGTTAGCTGTATTGTTGGGAGATTCCCCACCACTGCATGTCTACAAAGGGGGGGGGGGGAATGCTTGTGATACCATTGACCTAATATGGAATGGATGGAACCTCCTAACTGCAGCTTATTAACCACTTGCCTACCAGGCACTTATACCCCCTTATTTACCAGGCCAATTTTCAGCTTTCAGCGCTGCCGCACTTTGATTGACAATTGCGCGGTCATGCAACATTGTACCCATATGAAATTTTGATCATTTTTTTCTCACAAATAGAGCTTTCTTCTGGTGGTATTTAATTGCCACTGGCACTTTACTTTTTGCGCTATAAATAAAAAAATGTGCAAAAAATTAAAAAAAAAAAAAGTTTCTTTGTTTCTATTATAAAATTTTTCAAACAGGTATTTTTTCTCCTTCACTGATGTACGTTGATGAGGCAGCACTGATGGGCACTGATAGGCGGCACTGATGGGCACTGATAGGCAGCACTAAAGGGCAATGATAGGCAGTACTAATGAGGTGGCATGGATAGGTGGCACTGATAGACAGCACTAATGAGGTGTCATGGATAGGCGGCACTAATATGCAGCACTGATAGGCGGCACTGATAGGTGACACTGATGATGGGTACTGATAGACGGCACTGACTGGCATCACTTCTGGGCACTGACTGGTGGCACTGACTGGCATAACCCCTGGGCACTGACTGGTGGCACTGACTGGCAGCACTGCTGGGCTGCACTGGTGGGTGGGCACTGGTGGGGTGGCACAGGTGGGTGGCACTGGTGGGCACAGGTGGGTGGGCACAGGTGGGTGGCACTGCTGGGCACAGGTAGGTGGCACTTCTGGGCACAGGTGTGTGACACTGCAGAGTGGCACAGGTGGGTGCACTGCTGGGCACAGGTGGGTGCACTGCTGGGCACAGGTGGGTGATCTGCTGGGCACAGGTGGGCGGAGCTAGTGGGCGCACTGCTGGGCACAGGTGCGCGGAACTTGCGGGGGTGGCACTGCTGGGCACCGATCATCAGGGCACTGATCATCAGTGCCCTGATGATCGGTGCCGATCCCCGCTCTGACAACTGCCGGTTCTCGGCAGTACTTTCCTCACGATCTGACAGCGTGAGGAAAGTGCAGCCGAGAACCGGCACTTGCATTTCCCTCTGATCAGCGTGTCATTGGACACCGCTGATCATGTGGTAAAAGGCCACTGTGATTGGCCTTTTACCACATCACGTGATCAGCTGTGTCCATAGGACACAGCGATCACGGAGATCGCCGGGTGCGCAGGAGAGCGCGTTCTGGGAGGCCGTCATATGACATCCACTCAGAACTGGCCGGCCAAAGTGCAGCCGTCATTCGGCTATCTGCGGTCAGCAACTAGTTAACCACTTGCCTACTGGGCACTTATACCCCCTTCCTGTCCTGGCCAATTTTCAGGTTTCAGCGCTATCACACTTTGAATGACAATTGTGCGATCATGAAACATTGTACCCATATGACATTTTTATCATTTTTTTACACAAATATAGCTTTTTTTTGGTGGTATTTACTTGCCACTGGGTGTTTTATTTTTTGCACTATAAACAATAAAAGAGCAAAACGTTTGAAAAAAAAAAGTTTTTCTTTGTTTCTATTATAAAATTTTGCAAACAGGTAATTTTTTTGCCCTGGTGGGCACTGATAGGCAGCACTGATGGGCACTGATGAGATGGCACAGTTAAGCAGCACTGATGGGCACTGATAGGAGGAACTGATAGGCAGCATTGATAGGCTGCACTGATGATGCTGCACTGATAGGCAGCACTGATGGGCAGCACTGATGATGCTGCACTGCTGGGCAGCACTGCTGGTCACTGATGGGTAGCACTGCTGGGTAGCACTGATGAGCGGCACTGCTGGGCAGCACTGATAGGCAGCACTGCAGAGCACAGGTGGGTGGCACTGCAGGGCACAGGTGGGTGGCACTGATGGACACAGGTGCATGGCACTGATCATCAGGGCACTGATCATCATTGACAATTGCCAGTTCTCGGCAGTACTTTCCTCACGCTGTGACAGCGTGAGGAAAGTACAGCCGATAACCAGAAACTGTATTTACCAGGCGATCTGCTATATCATTGGACGTAAAAGGCCACCATGATTGACCGTTTACCATAACACGTGATCAGCTGTGTCCGTAGAACACAGCAATCACCAGCAGTGCTGGGTGCGCGCCACTGGGGGCGCGTGTTCTGGAATGATGTCCATGGATGTCGTCCCAGGATTACACAACCGCACTGTAGCCGTCCTTCGGCTATAGCACGGTTGGGAACCGGTTAAGCTTGTTGGGATATGTAATGTGACAGCTTCCTGTGTGTTCTGTATTCACATCATTGTGCTGAGTAGGGAGCTATCTATTAGACATTCACTGCAATTGCACCCTTTCTGTATTTTTATCAGTAAAGAACAGGAAGTGTATCATGTTTTGATAAAATAAAGATTATCCACCACTGCAGTCATTTTAGCTTCCAGAAGAACACACCAGTGGAGGCCTCCTTTCTCCCTTTGATACACATATGCGTGTAAGTTCATTCATTGTGTTTGTTAAAATCACATATATACCTAGATTGCATTTAAATATATTTAATGTGATTTGTAGGTATCTGTTTGCAGAAAATGTGGCTATAGTATGCATTTGTAAGAGACATGTTTACAAGCATATTGTAACTTCAGTTTATGTAATTGTATTGAAGTTTTTACAGAACTATTCACAGAAGTAAAATCAGTTTTGGAATGAAATGCAATGCTGCTTCTGTCAGTTTTGTCAGCTGTCAGCTAACCGTTAGTAGGACAGCATACTGCCGGTTTTGGTGTATTGGGTTTGGACTGTGTTTGGATCCAAATCAAGCTTATCCATGTAAACATGGTTGTGTGTGTCAGAGTTTTAGGTTAGGTTCAGGTTAAAATTTGGGTTAGGTGAAGCGTTGTGTTATTTTAGTTCTTTTCCAGTATTGCAATTCATTTTTTTTCAGGTGTGATAAACTATTTGGTGCCAAAATTGCTGTGGCTAAAACTACCATGCCAATTATATGTTGTCAAATATGAAGCACTGTCTTGTTCATATAGGCACAGTAAACCATGACACTGAATACTACAATCACTATTATGCCTGCTTTAGACTAAAATGGCAGCTAACATAGAAGAATAAGCTGCACAAGTAAGCCACATAAATATCAAAAATTTCATTTTCTGTTTAGCTTTGAGTACTTTTGCACGTGTATCTGAATACTATTAGAAGCTATCTGACATACAGTAATTTTAGAGGTATATGATCATCATGCAATACCTGCAATTTTGATGATAATGATTACTGGGCTATTTATGGGTTACCCCTATGTTCGGCACACCTCTGCAGGGGATCGTCATTTAAAGAAGAAGCCATGTTTTAGTATAATATCTTTCAAATTATAGCTGAATTGTTCCCCTGAGATAAGCACTCTGGATGTCTGCAGTTCACACACACGTAATGTATGATGTGTTCAGATTCTGGGAATTACGTTTTTTTCATGGTGGTCAGATTGCTGTCCAACCACTACCTAAAGTTTATAAGTAGAATTAAAGCACAAGTAGATTTAAAGAACAAGCCCAGGCAGAAAGTTAGAATTTAGCTACAAGCAGATGAAGCAGGATTTGGCCTGAACTGGATCGTCTCTAGGACCATAGTAGACCTTTGGTCCATAAGATACCTCAGCAGTTCACACTTCATCCCAAAGCAATATCTTCCCATCAGGAGCGGACTGACAACTCATGGGGCCCCCAGGCAATAGGGGATCATGGGACCCCTGTGTCCTTGCCCAAACTCAAAAAAAGCCTATGAAAAAGGTACCAGGGGCATCTCATGGGGCCCCCTACTGACACCGGGCCCTCGGGCAGTGCCCGAGTTTCCAAATGGTCAGTCCGCCCCTGCTTCCCATCCATCATCTCTGGTATATGAAGCTGTCAGGATCTAGCAAGTAAGTATAGTACACCTTTTCTTGGATAATAGCATCACAGTTGTCAGGGATTCCTATCTCCATAACCTATATGTGAGTGGTCTAAGGGGGCTGTCTAATAGACTCAATGACCCCATTACTGGCAGGGGCGGACTGACCATTTGGAAACTTGGGCACTGCCCGAGGGCCCGGGTGAGTAGGGGGCCCCATGAGATGCCCCTGGTACCTTTTTCATAGGCTTTTTTGAGTTTGGGCAAGGACACAGGGGCCCCATGATCCCCTCTTGCCCGGGGCCCCATGAGTTGTCAGTCCGCCCCTGATTACTAGTTCACTATATGCTTCTTGAATTGTTTTCATCACTGTCAAATACATAATTGAAATATATATATATATATATATATATATATACAGTACAGTGGGGATCGAAAGTTTGGGCACCCCAGCTAAAAATTTGTATTAATGTGCATAAAGAAGCCAAGGAAAGATGGAAAAATCTCCAAAAGGCATCAAATTACAGATTAGACATTCTTATAATATGTCAACAAAAGTTAGATTTTATTTCCATCATTTACACTTTCAAAATAACAGAAAACAAAAAAATGGCGTCTGCAAAAGTTTGGGCACCCTGCAGAATTTATAGCATGCACTGCCCCCTTTGCAAAGCTGAGACCTGCCAGTGTCATGGATTGTTCTCAATCATCATCTGGGAAGACCAGGTTATGTCAATCTCAAAGGTTTTAAATGCCCAGACTCATCTGACCTTGCCCCAACAATCAGCACCAAGGGTTCTTCTAAGCAGTTGTCTAGAAAACTGAAACTGAAAATAGTTGACGCTCACAAAGCTGGAGAAGGCTATAAGAAGATAGCAAAGCGTTTTCAGATGTCAATATCCTCTGTTCGGAATGTAATTAAGAAATGGCAGTCATCAGGAACAGTGGAAGTTAAAGCAAGATCTGGAAGACCAAGAAAAATATCAGACAGAACAGCTCGCAGGATTGTGAGAAAAACAATTCAAAACCCACGTTTGACTGCATGATCCCTCCAGAAAGATCTGGCAGACACTGGAGTTGTGGTACACTATTCCACTATAAAGAGATACTTGTACAAATATGGTCTTCATGGAAGAGTCATCAGAAGAAAACCTCTTCTACGTCCTCACCACAAAAATCATCGTCTGAACTTTGCAAATGAACATATAGACAAGCCTGATGCATTTTGGAAACAAGTTCTGTGGACCGATGAGGTTAAAATTGAACTTTTTGGCCGGAATGAGCAAAGGTACATTTGGAGAAGAAGGGGCACAGAATTGAATGAAAAGAACCTCTGTCCAACTGTTAAGCATGGGGTTGGATCAATCATGCTTTGGGGTTGTGTTGCAGCCAGTGGCACAGGGAACATCTCACGAGTAGAAGGAAAAATGGATTCAATAAAATTTCAGCAAATTTTGGATGGTAACTTGATGCCATCTGTGAAAAAGCTGAAGTTAAAGAGAGGATGGCTTCTACAAATGGATAATGATCCTAAACACACCTCGAAAATCCACGGGGGATTACATCAAGAGGCGTAAACTGAAGGTTTTGCCATGGCCTTCACAATCTCCTGACCTCAACATAATTGAAAATCTATGGATAGACCTTAAAAGAGCAGTGCGTGACAGACAGCCCAGAAATCTCAAAGAACTGGAAGACTTTTGTAAGGAAGAATGGGCAAAGATACCTCAAACAAGAATTGAAAGACTCTTGGCTGGCTACAAAAAGCGTTTACAAGCTGTGATACTTGCCAAAGGGGGCAGTACAAGATATTAACTCTGCAGGGTGCCCAAACTTTTGCAGACGCCATTTTTTTTGTTTTCTGTTATTTTGAAAGTGTAAATGATGGAAATAAAATCTAACTTTTGTTGACATATTATAAGAATGTC